TCTCAATTCATTCGAAAGATAGCGTGATTACAACAGACAGACGGACAGACAGACAGACAGACAGACAGACGGACAGACGGGCATCGCTAAATCGACTTAGAATTTTACGCTGATCAAGAATATATATACTTTGTTGGGTCTGACATGAGTATTTCGAGGAGTTACAAACGGAATGACAAAGTTAATATACCCTCCATAGTATGGTGGAGGGTATAAAAATAATAATTATTTGAAATGTTGATACTTTTTAGTGGACGTACCAGAAGACGATTGATGTTGTCGATTTTTGCATCTAATATAAACCTAATATAAATATCACATTTTCTTAACCAAATATATGACTTAAGGTAATTTTGTAGACTTTACTTTCTTATTTTCAATTTTTTTAAACCACCCCGATTCGTAGTTACACTGTTAAATTAACTTCACATTGTTGATAAATTGTTAAATTATCTCTCCATCATACTAAATGGTATAATTGACATAACAATTATGACACAACAATAAATAACATTTCTCCTCCTCCCCCAACAATTTTTCAAACACATAATGGCATTCTATCAACATGTTGCATGAAGCATACCTACGCAACAATGTATCACAACACTGGCGAAATCGTTTATAAATAATCAAAAGGATGATTTAATTACAACAATATCTACTGGCATGCCATCATTGCCCCCAAATGTTCAAAGACAAACACACACAAACATACTCCCCATCGACACTCACACACAGGGCACCCAATCAGGGCAGAAAACAACAGCAGCAAATGAACCATAACAAGCAACAAAACAAACGATTAAAAAACAACTCAAACCAAATTGAAACGAGAAAAACAATTTTCAATTACAATTTAATAGATGCGGAGATACAGAAAGTGAGACTGTCTTTATTGCTGTTGTTGCTGCTTCTCTGCCAACGTAGGCTATGGACATCGAGAGTCATTCAGTCAGCCAGCTAAGCAGACAGTCATATATTCAAGCCATTTAACCATCCAGCCACCCAACTACGCCAATGACCAACAGTTATTAACGGGCAATCGAAGGGAAAACAATCATTAAATGAATACTCGGAGTAAAATACTGAAAACCTGAAATCGAATACGTATTCTACCGACAGCGAGATCGACGTAACAGAAAACGTGGTCCTGCTAACTGGCTGGTTGGTTTGCAACTGAACACAAGTCAGCACAACTTATCAACAATAAATGCCACATTTTTTTATAACATCTGCCAAGGCTTGTTCTGCTGCTGCTACTGCTGCGGCTACTGCTACTACAACCACTGTTGCTGTAGCCAAACTGAACCCATCGTCGCGTATCCTCCACAAGAATCAAAAGAACCCAAATAATAATAACAACATTAACACACACTAGAGGTGGCTTCAATTGCAATTTTATTTGACTTATAAATTGTTGGTTGTCTCTTCTCTCCCTCTCTACTTGCCCTCTCCTTGGTACGGTGTAATGATTGCATGGAAAAAGAGCTATGGGGTTTGCAAATGCTCATAACCTTGAGTTGGGGGTAGATTCTAACATAAAAGAGACCAAGAGTAACTTAATATTTTATTGTCCCCCCCATAATTGTGAGAGCTTCTGAGAGAATCACATAGAAAGAGAGGGAGAGAGAGCACACACATTGATGGTTGCAACGCCAGTAAAGATAACAAACGAAATATTGTAATTGTAACGAGAGCAAGAAACATAATTGTAATTATAATAATATATCATTTCGTTTATAAATGGGGGGCGCGCGCATACTCCACGCTCACATACTATAAATAAATACAGACACACACAAACACTCATACATATATATGAGTGTACATGAGGACAGCAATATAATATCTCTGTGAACTTTTATTATTTCTTTAATGGAAATGTGCGAGTAAAGTCAACACACAACTGCATTCACAAATCCCTGTATATATATTGTCTGATATGAAACATTTAATGTCGTAGATTTTATTAAAAAAATGAACTACAGTCATGAGCTCATATATTAAATATTATAATTTTGGAACAAAATTATCATATCCGATGAAGCCCATTTCACATTGAATGGGACCGTAAATAAGCAAAATTGCCATTTTTACGGCACTGAAAACCCTCAGGAGATTCAAGAAGTGCCTCTTCATGACGAAAAAGTCACAGTTTGGTGCGGCGTTAGTGCGAAAACGGTCATTGGGCCGTTTTTCTTCCAAAATGAAAATGACCATGCTGTTACCATCAATCAGGAGCGTTATCGCGACATGATGACCAATTTTGTGGTGCCAATTATTCGTCGAGAGCGTATGAGGCAGTTCTGGTTTCAATAAGACGGCGCTCCACCGCACACAAGTCGCATAACAATCGATTTTCTGAAAAATTTGCTTCATGGGTCCGTCGAATATGGGCAACCCTGTATATAACCCATGTAGCCATATGGCAGCGGGCGTATTATATTCGAGGTTTTTCCACCGGCTAGAATCCGTTATGAACTACAAACGCCAGTTTTAAGTAAAATTCGTAAAAAAATGTGGCGAAAATCATCAAAATACCGAATATCGAGAGGTACCGTTATATGGCGGCTATACAAAAACAACAATATGGGCTCTGTCGTTATTTCAACTGATGAGGGGTATAAAAATACGTAAAATCTTAAAAATGTCCGAAATCGGGTGATACCTTTATATAAAGGTCATAAGAAAACGTAGATCAGATCAGTAAACCCTCTGATTTAATTTATTTTGGGGGTCTTGACCATTTTATACCCTACAACACTATGTGTAGGGGGTATTATAAGTTTTATTGGGCCAAAAATTATGTAACACCTCGAAATATTGATAGGAAAGGAAAGTATATATGAAAAGTATATATGGATCTTCCTATCTCGCCGAGCTGAGTCGATCTAGCTACGTATGCCCGTCCGTCCGTCTGTCCATGTTAATTTGTAATCAAGCTACAGGTCGCAATTATGAACCGATCCTCATGAAAATGAAAATGGAGGTGGGGTTATGGTCAGAATAGAACCCTATTGTTTTTGGAGATGATCGCACGATATCTATGGGTTGAAATGGACCAAAAACAGAAAAATTTCCTGATTTTGCAGTTGCTCTGTAGGCCTCAATTATGAACCAATCGACGCGAAAATTAACATAGAGTTAGAGTTTAGGAGTGGGCCGAAACCTACCAATTTGGGCGGTCATCGGACAATAATTAGCGGGTAAAATAGACCCAAACTTTTATGTAAAAAAAATAGGAAAATGTCCACCAAAACGCGAATATTTTCAATCCCAGCCAAATCAAAAATACATTAAAATATCACTTCTGACCATCACAGTGATGCTAATAGCCCAGAAATCGGATATATAGAAGAATAGGTACAATATATATGTAAAAGAATTGATCTTATTTATTCTGCTTATAAATCAAGAATCGCTGGTCCGATTTTCACAATTCTCATCAATTCGGAATGGTCTCTTGCCATAGAACGATCTAAGAAAATCACGGAAAACTATACCAATAAAAAAGTGAATATCTTTTGTCGATTTTTTTCATTTTTTGTCATATTTTTTATAGCATGCGATTTTTTCAATTTGACTTACAATTTTGAATTGTAAATTTTCTAAATGTTTACACCCTTCAACACTACGTTTTGAGGGTATTATATACATATCGCAATTATCGTCCGATCCTCACGAAATTTTGCATGGGGGTAGGGTAAGGGTCAGAATAAAAGCCAATTGTTCTTAAGATGTACATTTAGAGGTGCAAATGGACTAAACAAATTATTTATTTTTTTTTTACTTTTGTAGTCGCTCTATAGGTCACAATTGAAAAGTAATCGACGCGGAATTCCGTATCAGAAGAGAGGATGGCCATTGGATTTTATTTAGCTGTAAAATAGACCACAACTTTCGTGTGAAATTGTTTTGAATGTTTAACAACACTACGGAGTGCGTAAATATTGCCCAAATTCTCCGGGTCAAAAAACTAAGGGTACCCTCTGGGCGGGGCTCTTTGACATTATTTCAAAAACGAAATCTTCCAAAATGGATTTGGATATAAGGGACCTTCGAACACATAGTGTTGTAGGGTATCACATGGTCGGCCCCGCACGACTATAGCCTTTGCTTACTTGTTTCAATTGATTTTGCTAAAAATAGAAAATTTCACAATTTTATTTTATTAATTTATTTTTTTTAAATTAAAAAATTTCAATTACTTTAGATTTTTTCGATAAATATTTATTTTTTCGAATACTTCTGCAATTTTTTAGAATTATGAAAACATCGGATCATTTGAGCAGAAACCTAGCATTCAACACAACTTTCCTTTTTCCAAATTCGAAAATTGTATTTCTAACAGACACACAAATTTTTCATTTCAATTTTATATAAAATACGCTTCATAATACAACGACCCGATACTGTATGCACACAAATATGGGGAGGGCATTTAATGTGTTTTATTATTGTTGTTATTATTGCTATGAAATGTAAATGTGCACAAGAGTGTATAATTGTATGAGGATTTTTTTTTAAAGTGGATATATAGCATTGAATATGTGCGAGTGTGTGTGTGTGTTTGTGTGAATGCAAGCAACGACAAACATACATAGCAATTGTATGAAGAAGCCATGGCAAGCGTAGCAACATCAACAAACGTTTTCGTTTAAGCAATAAAATGTTGATAATGACGACAATAAACATCGTCATTATTAACATTGGACTTTTTGGATGTTGTCGACGCTGGCGACATCGCCAGCTGCAACGCAGCAGCGTTGGCGACGACAACGTCGAAAAAAGTGTCTTCTTCAACATACCCCCCGAAAAACATCAATGACTTTTTTGTGTGTGAAAACGTCACAATGTTCGTTTGAAGTGCTTGTCTTTTGATTTGTTGTGTTATGGTTTTGTTGCGGGGGAGGTGGCGAGCGGCAGTGCTGTGATACAACTACTGCTGTTCTTGTTCTGAGTAGTACTGTGCTGTGCTTTACCATGTCGTTGTTGCTCCATGTTGTGTTGTGCGACTGGGTTGTGTGCCGCGCTGTTGTTGCGCTGCCGGCCCCCCAACCAACTTGTGTGTGTTGCTGCCGTTGTGTTTTGCCGTCAAGTTGGGCAAAATGTATCTAGATACATAATTGCCACATTCAGTCGTCGTTAAATAGTTGTACGGCGCAGTTCAAGCAGCTCTTTTTCAATTTCACAAATCATAATAAAAATTTGTTGGATATTGAAACACGGAATACAAGTGAAGCGAACAAAAAACACATGGTGTTTCAGTTAGAAGAAGAAACAAGAACAACAACAACAAAAATTTTAAGAGAGTTGGAAATGTTTGTGTAGCAAAAAAGTATTTAACTCTGTAAGTGGGGTCGTCCATCCATCTCATACACCATGCTGAGTGTCGTCCGTCCGTCTGGCATGGTGTGTTGTGTTGTTTTCGTTATATTTCCGCGTGTGTGTGTGTGAGCGCGTTAGTGTGTTTGTGTTGTGTTCGAACCTTCTTGTTAATGGCATCGAGTGGAGTCATTTAGCGTGTTGTTGTCTGGCCATTCAAACACAAGTTCATTAGTTTGTTAAATCGTTAATCGTTTCGCTTGGCTTGACTTGGCTGTTTGGTTGCCCGTTGTCTTTTGCGGATCAAATTAGCAAAAGTAAGGTTGATTTGAAAACAATCCATAGCATCGTTGCGTCGCAGTCGGGGCGATTATTATCGACGTTGGTCGTTCGTTCGTCGTCGTCATTATAACAGAGCTTTGCGCCCAATCTTTGGCCTTTTACGTTTGTGTGTTGTTTTCGTTGATTCAATTGATGATTGTTTGTCTCTGGTGGGACTACAAATGTTTGGCGATTTTTGTTTAGCATCGAGTGTTATCAGCAACATGCGGCGGCAGCAGCAGCAGCCGCTTCGGCATCAGCAACAAGGAATAATGAATGTAAAATGTTTGTGACCGAATGAGAATGAATGGCAAGCTGAAACCAATAAACAAGCAGTTAGCATTGTTTCATTTATTGCTCATCATCATCATCATCGTTTCCATCGTCATTTGCTGCTGGCATTTAGTGTTGTTGTTGTTTTTTAGTGTTTTTTCTTGTCTGTGAGTGAAGAGCCTTTTGGGTGATCAAAAAAAAGGAAAACAAATGGCAATTGCCTTTTCGATTTAAACGTTTTAACAACATAATACGCATTGTATTGCCGTCGTCGTCGTCATCATCGTCGTCGGTTTCGTTTTCGTCTCCGCACCATCATCGCTCGTCATTATCGTTGCTGTGATATAGTGGTCGTTAATTTGCTTTGCGATTCGTTTGTGTACGCGCTTTCAATGATGTGCTAACAACGGTAGTAGTTACCATACGCTCACCTTAAATGACGACGGACGGAACGCTGACGCCGACGCGTAACAATGCCGACGGCATTTAATTAAGCAATTAATTAAAAGCACAAATAAATCAAAGAGATAAAAATCACTTTTAAAATGTGCACACATACACACACACAGAGGCACACACACTCATGTGTTTGTAAATAAATATACTTACCAACAATGAATATGATTTGAAATGCGAAACAAAAAAAGTAAATAAAAATTCAAACAAAGTTGTAAATAAAATGTGAAAAAATAAAAAAAAGCTTGTTTTGATGTTAATGATAATAAAAAATAATAAATTGTAATGTAAAAGGTTAATTTGAAATAATTACAAAACAAGTAATTAACAACAAAAGGCTACAAAATAAAAATGTAAATTGTAAAATGAAATGAAAATAAATACAAATAAAAAAGGAATGATTAAAAACTGTGAAACGTAAATGCAATAAACCCCTATTTTGGATTTGTGTAATAATTGAATGCAAAAAAAAAAATAACTATAGAAAAAACAATAAAATATAAAACAAAGGAAAACGTAAACAAAAGTTAAAAAATTAATATTTTTTATTTTGTTTAAATAAAAAAAAAAAAAATAAAAAAAAAATGATACATAATTCCAAAAATTAAAACTATCCTTTTTTTCGATTTGTGTAATAAATAAATGCAAAAAAAAAAAATAAATTATAGAAAAAAAAACAATAAAACTTAAAGCAAAGGAAAACAAAAATTTAAAAAAATTAATATTGTTAATTTTGTTTAATTAAAAAATAACATTAAAATGAAAAAAAATTGCGTGGAAAAAATATCAGTGTAAAGTTGACGTTGAAATAAAATTTTCTTTTAATAATTAATTAAAAAACACATGTGAAATAGAACTAATAAATTTTAATGTCAATACTTGTCAAGAAAAGTTAATGATAAAACAAGTAAACAAAAGCTGTAACTTTGAATACCCTCCACCATTTGGAACAAATTTGGAAATTTTCAAAAACAAAAAAAAAAAAAAAAAAAACAAGTAAGCAAAGGCTATAGTCGTGCGGGGCCGACCATGTGATTCCCTACAACACTACAATATGTTAGAAGCACCCTTATTTCCAAGTCCATTTTGGAAGATTTCCCTTTTGAAATTTTGTCATGGAGCACTGCCCAGATATTGCCCTTTCCATTTTGACCAGGGACATTTGAGCTCCTTAATATTTTGCGATCATCTCCAAAAGCAAGAAGCCGCTCTGCATCTACAAATTTAGACCCATCTATATGATTTGCTTGTCTACGATATTTGGCTATATTCGCTAACGAAATCAGCATAAACAACCAGAAGTCCGCCTTTTGTGTATTTCGGATATCGCCTGTAAGTAATGTTGGTATTTTTTTCACACAAAAGTAGTGGTCCATTCTACCCGCTGTCCTACACCCTAACTACATGCGAGATTTTGTATCATTTAGTTTCTATTTTCGATCTTTATAACGGCTGCCAAATCAGGAAAATTTTTGTTGGTCCATTTTAACCTCTAAATATATTGCGGACATCTTTGAAAACAATAGGCCTAGCCCTTCTGAGCCTAACCCTACTCTTGTGAAAAATTTCGTGAGGATCGGACGATAATTGCAATCTGTATAGAATAACCTCAACCTGTGTTGTAAGGTGAAAAAATATTACAAAATGTACTCTTCAATATTATAAGTCAAAATGAAAAAATCGCATGCGATAAAAATATTGAAAAAAATAAAATAATGTCACAAAATACTACAAAATCTATATTAACATCATTATTGGCATATTTTTATGAGATTTTTTTTAGATTTTATACTTTCACACCAAGAGGGCATTCGGAATTGACAAAATTTGTCAAAATCGCGCCAGCCAATCTGGAGATATAAACATTCTAGATAACATCCCATTCCTTTGTATATACACATTGTATATATTTCGCTATATATAACCGATATATTTACTATCGGCATCTACGTAACGGTCAGAATTTACCTTTAGGTCTATTTGTGATTTCGCCGGGATTAAAAATATTCGCGTTATAATGGAAATTTGACTTTTATTTAACACAAATGTTGTGGCCTCTTTCACCCACTAAATATTACCCGATGACCATCAAAATTGGAAGGTTTCTGCCCAGCCCTAAGCTCTAGTCCCATACTAACTGCGACCTGTAGAGCAACTGCAAAATCATTAAATTTTTCAGTTTTGGGTCCATTTCAACCCCTAAAAATTATACGATCATCTCCAAAAGAAATAGGGTTCTATTCAGACCCTAGCCCCACCTCCATTCTAAATTTCGTGAAGATCGGACCATAATTGCGACCTGTAGAGTGATTACAAATTAACATGGACAGACGGACGGACGGACGTAGCTAGATCGACTCAGCTCGGCGAGCTAGGAAGATCCATATATACTTTCCTATGTGGGAAACCAATATTTCGTGGTGTTACATAATTTTTGCCCAATCAAACTTATAATACCCCCAACACACAGTGTTGTAGGGTATAAAAAGAAGAAGAAGAAGAGATTTTTTACTACGTCGAATACCTAATTGGTTCCTTCGGAAAGAACCACAATTTTTTCCATGCCTATAGAACATTTCATTTTCATTTCATTCATTTAATACCTTTAAGTATTTTAGACCTTTTTGTACAAATGTCCATACACACTGCACGTTTTTGGTACAAATTTACAAAAATAAACCTCTTCTAATTGTCCACCTACTAACCAACCCAATTACAAAAATCGATGATTCTAACCCAATTTCTTCTGGGACTTAATGAGGCAGTTGATCACTAATTCAATAATGAATGCAATAGAAGCATAATCCGAGACGATTAACCCCGTTAGCAGAAATAAAACAGTCTTGCTCTAGAGCATACCCGTTCAAAATTGTCCGTCAAATGACAACTTGAGATTTCCTATATGACCAACATAGCAGATTTACATAACAATGCTAACTTGATTCCAAATTATGAGGTGCTCGAAGATTATAAATAGTTTTTATTCACTCATGAATTTTAATGACATTGATCTACCACAAAAAATTGCATACAAATCCAAATAATTACAAAGATTTCAAATGCCTGTGAAATTTTCTAATATTTAGATTACTTTTTTTTTTTTTTTTTTGAAACACAAGCGTGGTATTTAAAATAGTTTTCAACTAAAACATAATCATTTACATATATTCGAGATGAAATTCAAAAATTTACATAAACAGAGTGTCAACGCCACGAAAATTGTCACATGAATCACTTGTGTTTGGCTGGTTGGCTGGCTGGCCTGTTCGCTGCCTAGCTGAATGGCATCAAATTGGTTCCATTTGTTGTTGTTGTTTATCATCCCACCCCGGCATTTTAGACGACACATGTCAATGCGGATCAAACCAAAACAAAAGAACTATTAAAAAATTGTTACGATTTAACAAATTCGTCTGATCTTTGTTGTTGTTGCTGTTGCTTGGTTTTGAGATATTTAGCCGCTAAATTAGCATAATTTGAACATTTGTTTTCATTTTATGCCGCGCAAATATTCATCTCGATCGTCAAAATGAAAAAAAAAAAATAGACGACGGCTATGTGGACTTTTTGACGCGATTATCGAAATAAAAATAATAAAAACGCGGTCATAGTTGATCGGTGTTTGCGATGGCTTTCTAGTTGTTGTTATTGTGTGAGGGTATGTTGGATTTGTCATCCAATTTGCAACACTTTTTGAAACATCTATTTTAGATGTTTGAAAGTAAATTTATTTAGGAAATTTTGGTAGCAAATTTTCTTGAGCACTCGGACAATAATTATACCTATGTGTTGGGGGTATTATAAGTTTGATTGGGCCAAAAATTATGTAACACCTCGAAATATTGGTTTCCCATATAGGAAAGTATATATGGATCTTCCTAGCTCGCCGAGCTGAGTCGATCTAGCTATGTATGTTCGTCCGTCCGACTGTCCATGTTAATTTGTAATCACGCTACAGGTCGCAATTATTGGCCG